ACTTGTTGCTAAGATTTCCTTGTTCCTGCTCTTCCTCTTGCCCCTCAGGCCCAGGAGAATTATGAGAATGCCATCTCCCAAGGCCAGCAAGCCTTCCTTCTGGAGCAGGATAGCAGCTCTGGTGACATCTTCAGCTGCAGTATAGGAAATTTGCCCCCTGGCCAGAAGGCTGCTGTCACTCTGAGCTATGTTCAGGAGCTGTCCCTGGAGGCAGATGGGGCTGTTCGCTTTGTCCTGCCAGCCATCTTGAATCCACGCTATGTCCTGCAAGGTGAGGAGCCTGGCCTCCTCCAGTAGCAAGGGCTGGGGGATTGTGGATGGAAGAACAATGGGGGCATCTGGTTCTACCTGGATCCTGTGGCCTAGGGGAGAAAAGGGCCCTTAGTTCCTTCTGGGATCATCAGTGGGTGGCTCATTGCAGAGTCAGCTGAGGCAGAAAACATCACCTCTCAAGTCCCTCGGGTTCCTGGCAAGGAGCTGCCCTACACGTTTAGTGTCAGTGCCAATGTCTACTCTCCCCGTGGCATTGAGAAGGTCCAGTCCAACTGTCCTCTGAGTCCCCTGCAGTACTTGGAAGATGACAAGAAGGTTGCCCAGGTAACTAGCTAGGCAGAAAGCACCATTGCCTTCTTGCCCCTGCCCACTTCCATCCATCAAACCCCTCCTTTTGGTTTCCTGGTACTGTCCAATGTCCTGAACTCACCCATAAGATGGTCATATTGTACCCTCTCCAGCTCCTTACAGACCTAGACTTTTCTCTTTTCATACCAACTCCGTCCCAGAACATCACTCACCAAATGGGAAGTTAACTTTCCAGCCCCTTGTTGTCACCTGGCAATCCAGAAGAAGCTCCTGGGATATCCTTCTTGTCTTAGCATTGCTCTGCTCTGCCCCATCTTCATCCAGGTTTCCTTGGCTGAAGGGCATCAGTTTGATCGGGATGTTGAGATCCTGGTTTACTACAGGGAGGTGAACACACCCAGTGTCTCTGTGGAGCTGGCCCAGGCTGATGCCAAGCCAGGTAAGCCAATCTTAGGAGCTTGCTCACTTGCTGAGGATATACCTCCCAAGCATGCTGACACTTGACAGAGAAATATTGAAATAGTTGTAGGATGGTTGTCACTATGGTATTCAGTGGTGGTCTCAGGAATCCAAAGAGGGACATTTATTACCTCACTGAAAGTGAACAAGGAAAGATTTCATTATCATACCAAATGTAGAAATGCTAAGGCTTAAAGAACAACGTTAGTGTTCTGACTGTTGAATAATAATACAAAGTACTATTGACCTAATTTAAAATCATAATGTGACAGACCCAGAATCTCAGAACTGGAAGAGATAGCAAAGACATTATTATCTAATGCAGGATATATTTTTTTATTTTATTAATTTATTTATTTTTAGTTTTCAACATTCACTTCCTCAAGATTTTGAGTTCCAGATTTTCTCCCCATCTCCTCCCTTCCCCCACCCCAAAATGGCATGCATTCTGAATACTCCTAATCTGCCCTCCTTTCTATTTCTCCCCCCTTCTCTTATCCCCTTCCCCTTCTATTTTCCTGTAGGGCAGGATAGATTTCTATACCCTATTTCCTGTATATCTTATTTCCCAGTTTCATGTGAAAACAATTTTTTTCAATCTTTTGTTTTTAAAATTTTGGATTCCAAATTTTCTTCTTTCCTCCCTCCCCACCCACCCTCATTGAGAAGGCAAGCAACTTGATGCAGGTTATACATGTGTAGTCATGCAAAATACTTCCATAGTAGTCATGTTGTGAAAAACTAAGTATATTTCCCTTAATCCTATCCTGCTCCCCATTTATTCTATTCTCTCTTTTGACCCTGTCCCTCTCTAGAATTGTTTGCTTCTGATTACCCCCTTCCCTCTATCATCCTCCTAATGCAGGATCTTTTTGTAGAAGCTGTTGCATAACTATTGCATCCCTGCCATATGCTTGCACAGTTGGTTTTGTTGGTAGGACCTTGCATTTTATCCATTTTCCATTTAAGGTGATTTGATTCTGCACATGGTTCTAGCTGGATGAGATGTTTTGGAAGTCTCTCTTGTGATGTGTGACCAGCCCAGTTGTTTTAGTCCAATATACATCTCTCTCATGTACTTCACATAATTTAGAGGTCAGGGGATTTAGAGGTATAGCCTGCGTCTGATGGCTTCTGGTCCTATACAGTTTTTCATAGGCAATTTTGTAAGTTGTCTTAAGTCCTTTTGCAACAAGGAAAGTGTAAACCAAAAATAAAAGTTCAAGGTGTAATAATTAAACCCTCTACCCTCACTCAGCTCCTTTTCCACATCACTTTGCTTACTGGTGGCCTGTGGCATAAATTTTGTGGAGTTTTTATGTTTTTTTGTTTTTGTTTTTTGCCTCTGGGTAGGTTCCCTGATGGGAGATCCAGCTGTGATGGTGAGTTTCTACCCTAGCATCCCTGAGTGTCAGGGAGAGAACACTGGTGAATTTATCTTCCTCATGGACCGCTCAGGGAGCATGTCCTCCCAGATAAATAGCAAAGAAGGTGCCCAGAAGCGCATAGAGAGTGCCAAGGTACCAGTTTCTTTTCTCTTTTATGCCCCTTTTGCATGTCCTTTTTTTTTCAGAAGTGAAAATGGAACTTATGGGCTTAAATTAATCTTGTAAGGCACTGACTATTTCTTTATGGTGGGCTGAATTTGAATGTGACCACTTTAAGGTAACTCACTGGGACTGGTGTCATGAAGGGGGGAACAGGGTGAGACCTGAGTGTCACCACGAGGATGATAAATGGCAGACTTTATTTTTTTTTAAAATGTCTTCTCTACCTTTCTTCTCACTCAGGAAACTTTGGTCCTGCTGCTGAAGAGTTTGCCCCTTGGCTGTTTTTTCAATATCTATGGATTTGGATCCTCCTTTGAATCCTTCTTTCCGTGAGTCTCTGGCTAGAGTCATAGAGAAGGACGGAGGTTAAAAGGGGAAGTGTTAAGGAACCTATTACAAATGATATAGTTACAGAATTTGTGAAGAGGTAGCATAAGACCTGTCTTTGGAGCTGGGGCTTATGAGAGGGGCAGGAGACTTAAGTGCTTGACACTGTTGGAAAATGTCTCTCATGGAACTCTCATGTGTGTCTGTGTGTGTATATGTCTCAGAGAGAGTGTGGAGTACACACAGCAGTCCATGGAGGCGGCTGTGCAGCGAGTAAAGGCTCTAGAAGCTGACCTGGGAGGGACTGAAATCTTAGAGCCACTGAAGGACATTTATAGCAAATCCTGCAGGCCAGACCACCCTCGGCAGGTGAGGAACTGGGACTGGGGGAAAGGGAGACCCAAGTCTTGTTTTGTTGATGGGGCATTAATCCTGTCTGAAGGCAGCAGTGATCAGGTTTTTTGGAGGCAGCTGGAGTCAAGTGACTTGTCCAGAGTGAACCAGCTAGTAGGTGAGTGAGGCTGGATTGGAACTCAGGTCCTCCTGACTCTGGGGCTGGTGCTCTGTCCATTGCACCATCTAGCTGCCTAATGGTAATAGTAAGAACAGACTGGGGCGGTCTAATAGACTCTCCTCACATAAAAATAGTCTCCTCCCTTTCACTAGTAATGAGACCTATTGACAATAAAATAACAGAAAATTCATAAAGGAATTTATTATACAAATCACATAAATGAGAAGTCATATACATGATAATGATGTAATTATATTGTTTCATTCTTACAACAGCATTGTCAAGTTGGTCCTACAGATGTTATCTCCACTTTACAGCTAGGCAAACTAAGATTTTGGGTTGAGTGACTTGCTCATGGCCACAGAACTAGTTAAGTGATAGAGATGGCTTTGAACCCAGGTATTTACTGACACATAAGTTCATCTTTCTATTACACCCACTGCTTCCACAAATCTTTGCAGGGTTCCGGTGAAAGGTCCCACTCACAAAGGCCCCTGACTCAACAGTTTAGAAACTCTAAAACCTCCCAGCTGCCCTGAATGAACCACCTATGTCATAGTTGTGGAGATAGTTTTAAATGCTTAGCACAGTGTCTGGCACATAGTAGGTGCTTCATAAATGCTTATTGCCTTCTCCCTGCCACAGTCCCATATGCCAGCTCTAATTTCATCAAGTCTCTCCTTATAGACCCACAGTAATATAGAACTGAATAGTGAGGTAGCCTGCTTTATGTTGGGACACATGCTTTAGTGTGGGTCAGGAGAACCTTGGGCTGAGGAACCTGACGTGGCTTTGACAGGATCTGTGGCTGCTTGTCTCCCTCTGCAGCTCTTCGTCTTCACAGATGGAGAAGTTGATGATACAAGGAGGGTCATTGCTGAAGTTCAATGCCACAATCAGAATCACAGGTATGGTTTTCAGGAGTCAGCCCCTGACACGTACATACTCAACATGTTTCTGGGCCTCAATTTCTTCATTTGTAATATGAGTGATTTGGGTCAGACAGCCTGTTGAACAAGTAAACACACAGACTACCCCATTTCTTAGGAAGGAGACACAGGAGGGCTTCTAGCACCTCTCTTACTAGCAGGTTTGCTTTTGATTCGGTCAGACAGTAATACAGGAATGGAGTCATCATAAGGGGTTAAATAAGCTTTCTTTATTCTAGTCTAGTCTTCTCAAAGGGAGTTTGCTGATAATGGGAGTACTAACTCCTACAGCATTCCCTAACAACCCTTCCAGCGTGAAGAGGGGGGACAACTACTCCTCGACTCAATGGGGTCAGTCGAGATCAGCACAACTTGTGTTCTCCCCTAAATCTCCTCAAGCCTCAATAAGGGCCAGTTGAGGTATACACACAGATTCCCCTTCCCAAGCCTTGATGGGGGCTGATAAAGGCACACACAGCATTCAGCTTGCACATTCACCCCATGGGGGTCCCCACTCACTGACTAGTGCCCACTTACTTTTATAGGGCAACAGACAGAGAGGCACATTGCCAGCAATGGCCTCACAATTTTATATCACTTCATCCCCATGTCTACCTCGACTGCACAGTAGAAACTATTTTGAATGAAGATCGTGAGAACTCATATCTAACACCTGGGAAGTAGAGATTCTTATGGCCATGGATCCTGGGAAGAAAACTCTAAGAAAGAATAACCAAAAATCCACTTTACACACACTTAAATTCACCTTACTTACATAGCCTTAGAGGTTTCTTCCTGCTCTCCATCTGTGATTCTGTGGTGATCATCTGCAGAAGGCTGGGTACCTAAAGAAGGACTCTGATCCCTAACAGGCCTCCACCCCCTAAGGCATTTGTCCTCTAATTCCCCACCGAAGTAGGAGTCAGGAACCCTTTCCTAAAACTTCCTCTGGCCAGCCTGCTGTCTTCTCATTACAGGTGTTTCTCTTTTGGAATTGGAGAAGGGGCTTCCACCAGCCTTATTAAAGGCATTGCTCGGGCAGCTGGAGGCACTGCAGAATTCATCACAGGCAGTGACAGAATGCAGCCCAAGGTGGCATGATTTTCTTTTTCTCAAAAGCATCTCTTCCAGGCTGAGGCACCACAATAGCTTCCCGAGCACAGATACGTCTTTGTCCCCATATCCTGTCCTGTAGCATTTTGTGAGTTGAGGTGCTTGGGAAATGTGCCTGGGTGGGTGAAGTGGGACCTTTCCCTTTCTGGGCCTTGGGACTTTACAACCGTAGATCTGAGAGCTCTTGAGTGTGGAGCAGGCATGACCTCACTGTGTGTTGAAAGGGGTCCAGGATGTTCCCTGGGAAAGTGTGTGGTCATGAGAGAATATTTTTTTTTTGCTAGGCAATAAGTGACTTGCCCAGGGTAACAACAGTTAGTGAGTGTCAAGTGTTTGGTCTGAGGCCTGATTTGAACTCAGGTACTCCTGAATCCAGGGCCGGCGCTCTATGCACTGTGCCACCTAGCTGTCCTGATAGACAGAGTTTTAAGGGACATGAACATGAAGCAGATGAAAGGTATAAAAATATAAAGGTATAAAGACTGGAGCTGGCCTCAGAGACCAGGACTTTTCCTTGCTTCCCTGGAGATTTTGGTTCTACAACTTGGATTTACCTTCATGGTTGACTGTCAACATCCCACTATCCCTATTTTCCTGTCAGTGACGAAAAGGATTAGGGGAACAGGCTGCTGTGATATATTCAGGAATTTGGAAGAGTAGTTTCTCACATGACCAAGGAGGAGAAAATATCTTCTCTCCACTAAATTATCCTCTCCCCTCAAGTCCCTTTCCTTCCACCTCAAGCTCAGCAGCTTCCATTCTGTTCCCCCAGGCCCTCCGGTCCCTCAAGCGGGCCCTGCAGCCAGTGGTGCAGGCTGTCTCCCTGACCTGGACTCTGCCCCCTGGGCTGGAGACTACCTTGTTCTCTCCTCCTCCTACTGTCATCTTTAGGGGTCAGAGGTTAATCGTCTATGCCCAGTTGAAAGGGACAAATGCAGTAAGTCCTCATTCCTCCTTTTGGGTCCCATGGTTGTGGTAGCTGATGTCCAAACACTGTCCTGGGCTTTTCCTTTTCTGTCAGTGGGTGGGTATGTGGGCTTATCCAGAGGATGGCATGTGGAAGGGAGGAACAAGTGCTCTAATTTCCTTTCCTTCTTGTGTACCTGGACCTTGATAATGTCTTTTTCCTGAACATTACTCCATTCTGATCTAGTGTGGTATGTAGGACAGAGTAATGGTTCTGTGGTCCAAGGATCTGGGTTCAAATCTCCCCTCAGATGCTTATGACTTATGATCTGGGACAAGTCACTGAGCTCCTTTGAGCCTCTTTTCCCAGCTGTGTAAAATGAAGGGGTCAGACTGAAAGTGCTCTGAGATCACTGAAAGCTCTAGAGCTGTGATCTTATGCTTGTGATTTAGACCCCAACACTCCCCTTAATGAGCTACTTACTGCCTGACCTCTCTGCTTATCCTCTTCCAGTCCAAAGAGGCAGCAGGTGAGGTATGTCTTCAATACCAGCTCCAAGGTGAAGGTTTCAGGAGCACAGTGCCATTCTCCCTGAATGCCAAAGCAGATGACAAGTAAGAATCCTTGGTGATTCCTCCTTCCTTTTTCACCTGCCTCTTGTTCTCTTCCTCTCTTTCTCATTAACTTCTCTCCTATGGACCCATACATCTATTCCTTTTATTCCCCACTACCTTTCCCTGGTTATTGGGAATCCTTAGGAATTGGAGGTTAGGACCACCTTCCCAGGTGCCCATAGGTAGCGCAGATGATTGTCTCTTTCCAGACTTACTATTCATCGCCTGGCTGCCAAGTCCTTGATCCAGAACCTTGATGGGAACTTACAGGATGCTGCAGAAGTGAAGAACAAAGTGGTGGATGTTAGCCTTCAGTCAGGAGTTGTCTCCTCTCACACTGCCTACATTGCTATCAATAAGGAGCTCAATCAGCCCATTCAGGGGCCCCTAACTC